TACATGTAATTTTAACAATAATGAAAAAATTTATGTTTCAATAGATTTTTAATGGAATTTTTCCGAACATATTTTTTGTAACATAACGCAAAAATTAATATTGTACACAGAGAATAAAATTGTAAAATCTGATTTAGATTGTATAGAACGTTTTCCGTTTCATTATAATATTTTCACTATTGTATTGTATTTTTCAAAATGACCATTATCATTATTACTGTTATAATAGTCATTAGTATCGTTCGAAATAAAATATCGATTACTATTATTGAAAAAGTGTGTATTAAACGCAAATTATTCGGCAAAATTGTTATAGAAAATTTTGTTTTCATACATAATTTTAAAATATCCATAAATTTGTATAGTACTTATAAAATATTAACTGAAATTATATACTATTATAATAATAGTTATCTTATTTAATTGTAATTTTAAAAAATTCATAAAAGTTGATGGAATTGATTGCAAAATAATATTTCGGTTTTTAATTTGCATATAATAAGTGCCAATTGCTATTTGTAACAAAAACAACTAGCAACAATGTTTAACTTCAAAATTTTTTAATATTCCATAATTTCAAATTTTGAATTGTTATTAATAGCACTGTATGAATTATAGAAGATAAAACATTATGTGCATATTTTAATGTGTGCACCTCCAAAAGTAAAGATTTACTCCAAATTTGCATTGAATTATTTTAAGATTCTTTGATAGAAGGTAATAAATTAAACTATGATTTTATTAAAACAATGTTTTTGTGCCCTGCTTTTTGATCTTCATGATAAAGTCCAGAATTAAAATTAAAACTCTTTTGTTGATAGCGCAATATAGAGCTGATCTGATGAGAAAGTTAATTTAAAAAAAAAAATCAAAATATTCACCAATGAGATTACCTCAATTTTGATTGAAAATTGAACAGTATTAATCAATTTTAGTTTTTTACCGAACACATTGCATACAATAAGTGAGGTTATTTTCATGGTAGTGAAGCCATAAATAAACTATTTTTAGCCAGATGACGGTCTGTTGGTCTGTGTGTGCCTGCGTATATCACAATTTCAACTGAACCGATGTTCATGAAATTTTATATGTAAGTTTATTTTATAAATAGGCAATCTTAATAATACTAAACTAAATTTATCAAGAATCTTTTTATTAATTTCGTCGCAGTCCTTATTATTTCCAGGTTATTATAAATTAGTACACTCATTATGTTTCTGAATCAAGAAAGTTTTACGTGTGAAATTTACAAAATTTTATGCAAGAATAATTAAAAAAAAATTTATTAATATTGGTATTTTAAATTTTTTATCTTGTTCTCGCCATAAATTGTTGTAAAATGCGATTTACAGTTAATGTTTATCAATTTTTATGCTGTATCAAAACAGGATATTGTGAAAAAAGGGAAGCAAAACATACATTTTTATGGAGTAGATGTTTACACTCAAATCTTTATTCTGCATTTAAATATCCAATAAAAGTTGGGTCAAACCAATGGTTTGTAAATTAGCATTTTTCTCTTCAACAAGTGAAAAAACAATTTACATTATTTAAATTAGCTTCATTTATATGTACACCAAATTATATATAAAACTATTGCATACATTTAGGGTGAGCAAAAAAAAAATAATTGAAATAGTCATTAACAAAATAGTTGAATTCGACTGTTAAGTGAATGAGGTAAAAAAAATAATTATATTTTTAATGGCATGAAAATTACCGCTAACGTACAGCATTTTTATAAAATTTGAAAAGATTGCAGTTTCAGAAGTATGTATATGGTGCCGAAAATTCAAATTTTGCAAATTTCGAAAGGTGATAACTTGAGAGAAGATCGAGGAAGAAAATTTTATTCCACGGAAAACGGTTTCTACTAAACATCAATTTATATATAAAATTATTTCAGTTTTCTATCTCAGAGGGTGTGGAAGTTTTGTAAGCAAACTCACAGATAAACAGGCGAACCAAAACTTTTTTTTTGAAAAAAAAAAGTTTCGGGTAATTCAAATTTGAAATTTTAAACGGTTTTCATGGTAAAATTTTTAAAGTTTAGATAGAGATGAGTTCAATACAGGCAAATTGAACAGAATTTGTATTAGTTAACAAAACTAAAATTTTAATACTAACGAAATAAATCCAACAAAAGTGTGACTCAAAATGCTCGAAATTCTTAAATATTCTACGCTGTTGTAAGTTATATTTTTCGGAAAGAGCGTGTCAATAAACCCTGATGGCTCAAAAACAGAAATTTAAAAATTTTCACATACTACATCAAATTATTTCACCAACGAATGTCGGTTACTCAAACCAAAAAAAAAAAGTATTTGATTTAAGTCTCGTTGGTTAAAGACAACAAAGAAAAAAGTTGTTATTCTTATCCAACATCTTTGAGTTGTTTAATTAAATACCTTCAATTTGAGTCCAAAGATTGCCATAAATTTGAATAATAAAAGAAAAAAGAAATACTAAATTTCTCGTACTTAAATTTCTGTTAAGTTTTTTTTTCATTTTTTTTCATATTGAATGAAAAAACTGCATTCAATAATGCTTGTTAATTCATAGGTCGTCTTAATGCATCAGGACATGTAATAAAATAAAAACTTTTGCATGCCAATTCCAATATTGATTTCTTCTTTCCTCGCCTTTGTATATGAGGATTTTATGAACAAGTTCGTTTACAATATGACCATAAATATTTCAGACTCGATGCGAACGAAATAAAAGAACTAAGAAAAAATCAGAAAAAAACAGTGCTGAAATTGATGCGTATCAAATATGAATTTTTCCGCTTAGATCACGAATTAAAAAAACAAGATGAAAAGAAAAAAAATTTTGTAGTGAAATAAAAAAAAATTGAGAATTTCACAAGAATTTATGATTTTCAGACGGTTTTTGAATCGACATTCACATAAAAATTCACCTACAATCAAAATTAAATTTTTTTTTTTTATTTTACGTGTATGTGTTCGTGTATGTACATTGCCTATGTATATACAGTTTTTTGAAATATTACCATATCGCACTCATGAAGATTTACTCGTGAATTTAGAATTTTTCAAAATGTTTTTGAAAATTTTGTTTTTACATACTAAGATTGTCCGCCTACTGGTACTTCATAACAGCATAATTTTCGATACAAATCAAATTTTAATTGACATTGTTTGCTAATCAATGTTATTTAAAGGCATTGTTTGCCTTCTCTAAAATTATATGTGGGCTACAAAAGTTTATTATTTTGATGCAACCGGCAGTATTAGTGTTAAAAGCAGAGTAATTCTTGTGACAATGGAATTGGTTGATGTTCACTATCAAAGTTTCAAACTTCGTACAGTATTGGAATTAATACTTTTTTTTTGGGAAAAATTATGTGATTAATATTTTAACCTCGAAATTTAGAAGCAGCTGAATAATTACGATATTTTAGTCCAGCTAGGATAAAGTCTTCTCATTAAATTCAACAAGAAATCTCTCCTTTAATCATATTATAACCAAAGATTGATTTTGAATTGCTGAACTTTTAAGGAACTTTGTTTTCCAATGTAAATATGTGATATTTAATACAAGTATACATGTTATTTTTTAAGCCCAATATCGTAGGTTTTGCAACTTTCAAGATAATGTTAAAATGCTGTTCCCGTGGTACCCAATTCAGAAGATGTTCGACAAGTATTTTATACGGTTGTTCCAATTATTTTCGGTTTGATTAACAGATTGTAAACTCTTTTGTCAAATTTACGATAAAACTCCGATATGCTAATTTTCTAATGCTGTAATAGCGCGTTTTACCTTACAATTGCGTTCTAGCTTACTTTCTTAAAATAAATTTAAATAATTTTCAATAGAAAAAACGGCTCTTTACAATCCCTTTATTTGGTTGTTACTTAATTTATTTATTCAATCTCTAATTCCTTATTTGATTTTTTTTTTGCAGATTATAAGTCAGTAAATTATGTACGAGTACGTTACAAATCTTAAAGTTATGATTTGACATTTAATCTTTACTTTTGAATATATGATTTCACGTTAATAAATTTCAATTGAGAGTCAATGGTGATATCAGAGAGAAAGAAAAAGAGAAAAAATACAAAATGGTAGGTGATGACACGGAATTTGTTGTAGGTGATTTGTTTAATTTTGTTACTTTTGAATGTATACAGAGGAAATAACTATTAATAAAATTAAAACAGGATTTATACGATTTATTGATAAAAGTATCAATGTTTTAAAGAAGAGGATTTAAATAAAAGAAGTAAAAATAAAACGAAAATGGAAAAATTCCAGATGGGATTTATACTTGACGGAAACGAAAAGAGAAAAAATGGAGAGCTGCTATTATTTAATAAATATAAAATATAAGGAGGAGCTTTAAGATAGAAAAATTAGTATGATAGAAGTGATCCTGTGAAATTGTGTTTCGAGTTGTTAAATTCTGAGTTATAAATGAAAACGACATAGGTACCTTATTCAAAATAATAATAGTTTGCTAACTAGGTTAAATTATGTCTTCAATTTTAATTTAGTTTAGACAGATAAAACTTTTTAGGTCAGCTTGCTTATAAAGATTTTTACTAGAAATATTTATAGCATAAAAAGAACGTGTTTTGAAACAAGATTTGCGAAGAAACGGGTTCTTATCAAAAAGTACTTTAATTTGCCCTTTCACAAGAACTGTAATTTGATTCAACAAACGGTCAAATATTTTTGAGTTACAGGCAGCCGTCTTGAAGGATATACTGAAAATAACGAAAGAAAGATTTCTTTTTTTTTTTTAAAAAACCCAGCTCAATTACTTTGCCGAAATTTCAAACTGAAGTGTGAAGTGGTTATTAACTAATCTCAACATTTGGTAAGATAAAATAGCTACTTTAATATTGTGAAACAAAAAGCAAGTAGGAATTGCAAACTGTAATATCTGTGACATAGAAGTATAGGAAAAACTCAAATCATTTTTAAAATCTTTGAATAAACAAAAATGTTATACAGTAGAAATTACAACTTACCTTTTCCTGCTTGATCTATACTTGAAGTACTTGCCGATGTTTGAGATTTTTTCCAACCTTTTTTTGCCCAAAAACTGCGAGCTTTTGATTCAGTAGGCGTCGTTACTTTACTATTAATTTGTTCCATTGTACTTAACTTTGAAAAATTTAATATTTTTTTACCGTGGGAGGATTGTATAATAAATGGATTACAATTACTATTATTTTTATTATTACCACTAGTTACTTCAATGTTACCCTTTAAATTTCTAAAATTAGTTTGATTAGATCTTTGTGATGATCGACTATTTTTCGTTAATTGTTCACTAATCGTACTGAAATTACTTTCACTAAAACTAACGCTGAATTTTTGATTTGATTTTTCATGATTTTGTGTTTCTTGAACATCTTCTTTTAAAATTTGATCGTTACCTGTTTTCTTTGTTGTATTCAATAATTTTTTCGAAGAAATTATATTAGACAGAGCGGCATTTGTTTTATGATAACGTAAACTGCCAATATAACTAGCACCGCTACTACCACTAAATCCACTATCTAAATCTGTATTTCCAGCACACGTTGACGATAAAATATTTGAAGAAGGTGTGTTACTAACTTCTATAGGTGGAGCAGAAGCTTCACCAATTGAACAAGTATTTGAAGCAACACAAAATGATATTGTATTGGAGATACCACTGCTAACTGATGAAATTATATTAGTACATTGTGTCGGTGCATTTAAGAGTTCATCAATATTATCAGCTGATTTATTAGGTTTTGATGTTTTAGATTTATTATTACCTTTTCTATTATTTAACGATTGAGATGAGCTAGAACTTGAAATGTCCGAGATATGTTGCAATATCGGTGATGTTTCTTTTCCGGTTGGACTAATGTTGGGTGGAGTTTTAGGCATCAACATTGCTTCTACAGATAAATTCAATTCACCAAGTATTTTTCGATGGTTTGATTGAACTCGACGGAATTCTTCTTCAACCATTGATAACTTCATAGCACCAGATGGTGGTTTACTGGTTTGTGAACATCCACCTTTTGTTTCAGATTCGATTTCTTCATAGAAATTTTCTTGAAGTGATGATGCTATTTTTGCTTGATAACTTTGTCTTACAGCAGGTGATACAAGAATTTTATGTTTCTTTCCTTTTGACAGTAGAGCTCTAATTGAATTTGGTGGTGGAGGACGATTAGGTGATTCTGAAACATCTTGTTGTTCTGGCGTTGGTATATTTGAATGACGCATTGCAGCACCTGGTTCATAGTAAGCGTATGAATAATCATGATGAAAAGGATGTGGATGCTGTAATGGTATATCATCGATTATTTCATTATTTCCAAAAAAAGTATCAGTGTTAAATGAAGCACCAGATGTTATAGGTAAATTATGTGACCATTTAACATTTGCTTCTAATGTTGCTGCATTATAACCACAACCACTATTGCTACTTTGACTACTTGAACAACTTTCATTTGTACCCATTAGATTATAATTATAATTTTTAATGTTAGATGATGGTAGTTGTTGTGATTTTTTACCTCGAAGCGATTTTATTAGAGACATTTGTTGAGCAAAATGTAATGGTTGCTGTTGTTGTTGTTGTTGTTGCTGTTGATGTAATGCAGATTCTTGTTCATTGCATACTTCTATAGCATCTAAATCTAATATTGGATATCTTTTTTGTTGAATTTTTATTTGTTTTTGTTGATTTTTACTTTTGCTACTTATTATGTTGCTCTTGATTTGACCTCCTGCCATTAAAAATTCTGACGAAGAAGGTTTAGTTCTATCTAAAAGTTCAGAACTTTCATTATTATCTCTACCACAAGTAGCAATATTATTTGTAAAATCTAAATCTGTTGATGATGGTGATGATGCAATAGAAACGGTAAGATTACTGGAAGGTGTTACAAAAGGTATTGTTGATGTAGGTGTTATTATAGACGGATGAACAGAAGTTGAAATATTCGATGCCAAAGAGTTCTTATTCATTGCACCTGCTGTTATTGTTGCTGATGTTGATAATATTTCCGGAGAATGTTTTTGTTTTGGTGATTGTTGCAGAAGATTTTGATTCAATTGTAAACTTTTTGTTGAAGAATTTGTACTATTATTGCTACTCGAATTATTATTATTATTATTATTCTGATTGTTATTTGTGCTCCTATTTGAACTATTTCTTTGTGGACTTAATGGATTCATTATTATTTGTTCCGTAGTATAATTTAAATGTTTTTGTTTTTGATTTTCTTTCTTCTCTATTATATCCTTGTGATCGATTCGATAACAAGGATGTAGTTGAATTTGATTTTGATTTTGATAATAGTGTTGATGTTGATGATGAAAAATCTTTTGTTGATGTAATTCGTTGTCGTAATAATGTTCTGGATAATAAATATCGGTTTGATTTTTGTTTTGTTGAAGATCCCAATTTTGTTCCTCTTCTATTTGATAATAAGGATGATGATATTGTGAAGGATAATTTTGATATTGATGTTCTTCGCTTTCTTTTAATTCTTGTTGTTTTACAGTTTCGTTTTTCGATTGTGTGAAAATTTCTTTTTCTATTATTTCCTGCTTCTGCTCCTTCTTTCGCCTTCCGCCACCCAAACATGTGGTATCCATTACACATGATGTTAGTTATTATAAGTGTATATTTCACGCTTTTTTAAGCATCTAACTGCTCGAAATTTTTAATTTGTTATTTAAGGTTTTGTCTCTTTTGTTGCAGTGTAATTTTGTGTTAATAATTTTTTACTATTTTTCCTGGAAATAAATAAAAAGCAAGGCTTATTAAAATTATAATTAATGAAATAAATTTGGATATTAAGTTCAAGGAAGGTACTTTTAGAAATTACATAATATTATAATATTATGTAATTTCTAAAAGTATAATAATTTTTACATTACACTGATTTTTTTTTGATTGTACCAATTTTTAAGTTATACCAATATTTTGTTGACATGGCGTGTCAATTTTAGAAATATATAGAGATATTTCAATACTGAATAATTTTGCAGAAGAATTTTTTTTAAAATATGAAGTAGTTTATAAGCTACACGTGAACTCAAAGTGTCACTCACTGTAAATTAATAAATAATTAGTGAAATAAGTAGTGCTAGCCCAATATAGTACTTTATTTCAATTCTCTGCTCTAAAGTATACGCTCCCAAAGTATTCTGTTCTTTAAACAAATCACGATCTCAACCATTGCATAGCAATAGAGGCAAAGGTTTCAGATTCTATATTAAATTTTCCTTATTTTATTTAAAACTATATTATATAATTTATTTAAACAACTCATAATGAAAAATTGTAATTAAATTTCTGATATTTTAATTATTATGGTAATTTCATATTAAATACTTGTAGTCCTGATTAAAAAATTTTCTTTTTAACGTAAAATTGTTTAATATAAATTTATAAATATATTTGTATAATACATAATATAAAAACCTAATATGACTACATACATATAAATTAAATAGAAAATCAGAAAATCAAAAAAAAAAATGAAAAAGAAAATTTTATATCCTTTCAATTTTTCTTACCATTTTTTTAAACATTTTGGAGCAAACAACAAGCAAATTGAGTAAAACAAAAAAAAAAAAAAAATTAAGAGGAGAAAACGACGACTGAAAGTAGATATCCAATATACAAACAAGTCTTTTAACAAATCACTTCCTCATCTTGTTAAGTACGATAATTAATTAAATAATGAAAGAAAATTGAATTCTATCAGACCGGAAATTAGCTTCGCATTTAATATGTATATGTATATATATGTATAATATTATATAATAGCATAGAATTTCTATTATGTACAAAATAACCAACATACAATTTATTGCTCTTCCCAAACATCCAAAATAATATTATATAGCGAAGACAAGCAAATATTATGATAAAAAGAAAGAAAAGGTAAAGTGCACAAGGTTACACAGCAAATGAATAATAAGTTTAACATAATTAAATATACATAAAATAGTAATGTTGTACCTACATGTACATACCTTTTAAGCATCCATATCGTCGTTCAATAAGGTCTTATGTAAAAAATATAAGAGCATACGAATATTATAAAAGTAATGTTATGCATCTAAAAGAATGTAGTAATAATAAGTTCTCTGTAGCGTATATGTACATACATATATATATATAGTTTATATATATAAGACATAATTATATAGATGTATTTAAGGTAAAAAATATAATAAAATTGAGTTATAGTTTATACCTTGTAATATTGTTTGTGCACAGGAATAAAAAGAAAATTGAGTATTATAGAGCTGATGATGATCAAGATACCACCGCAGTAAGGGTAAAATTGTCTATAATAATTTGATTTTGACAATATGCGTTTATATTTTATTCGTATGTGTGTATGTATATTTATTTACACTATAATAAAGTATGAGAATACGTTCTTTTATGCAGGAGCTCAACTGTTTTTATATTGTACAATAAAACCGTATTCAACAGTTATGTAATATTTCTTTAGAAAAAGAGAAAAACAAAAAACAATGGAAAATGTGTTTAAAGCTCCATACTTATGTGGCATTAAATTTATACTGAAATGTTGGGAAAAAAAACTATTATGGTACTTGCTATATGGGAAATAAAAAATAATAAATTTTGTAAAATAATATTTAAGTTAACAACATGGAAATTATAGGATTCGACAGAGGAAAATAATGAGAATTATTACGAAATATTGTAGGCAGAAATTGTAAAATTCTAGTTGTCCGAATGGAAATTAATCAAACCAAATTTAAAAATAATAATTTAGGCACTTTAACATATTTACAACGATTCTAAATGTTTACTTTTAAATGAGTTGCTCGGGCTATATAAGATCGATTTTTGAGCATACCCTATAAAAGTTGCATATCAATTATATATTAAATTTTCTTCAGACCATTCTCTAAATTATTTGCTTGGGATTTGAAGCTTTTTTTAACTGATTTACAAAAAATATCTCTAAAGAAATGTTGGAAAGTTGTGCAAGATCATATTTTTTGACGATTTTTCTTGTACCTTTAAAATATTGGAATCAAATTCAAAAAGTGTTAGATTCGTTAGAGCTCTTTCGCGTCTGTATGTCTAGTGTACTATGTATGAATCATACGTTCATATTTCGTTGAAGACTTATTTTCATTTACAACACGTTCATGTTTCGTAAACTTTATAATAAGCGTGAAATGAATTTTTCGTATACCAGTCAAAATTTCACTAATATGTAATTCAAAACTGAAAAAACAAAATTTTCAAAAAAGTAAACTGAAGAGAAAGGAAATCGAGTTACAAAACTAAAAGTGACAACAAAGTACTTTCTTTTACTTCAAATAAGAAAAACTTATGACTGTATTTAGAGGTATGCAAACAGTTGAACATGTACAATTTAAGAAGACCTGTGCGTTTTTCTTTTACAGAATAAGCTAAGTAGCTACCAACAAAGTTTTCTTCTCTCGTGAAATAAGTAAAGTTCAAAAAAATGAACAAAAACTTTTTTTTTTGTGAATTCTAAAGTTTTTCGTTTGATTTTTTTCTTATATAGTTTGACTTGCTTGTTGATAGATTGAAGTCTTTACCTTAAGGTCCCACATAGTGTAGTGATATGAGAACATTTTTTTTTAAATATTGTTATACAAGTATGTGTTTGTCTTCGTGGGTATTGAGTTTTTTTTTGTATCGTATTTTTGTAAAAATGGTGGTAAAAATTATTTCTGCACGCTTGATTTAATAATAAAAACTTCTTAAACTTCCTGTTTAATGTTATTTTAAAGGTTCGATTGATACTATACCACTATACTTTTAACTTTTAAAATAACATTATGGATTTCTCTTATTTTAAAATTGCTATTTAAGTTACTTAACCATATATTTATTGTTTTTAAGTTTGAAAATATTAAAAGTTTCTATGAGGAACAAATTAAAAAAAAACAACACACTTTAAAATTTTTTTTTAATTTAAAGAAGTTAAAGTTCAATTTCGTCAACTTAGTCTAATCACTTTATTTCAATTTTAGTGTTATTTTAATTTTAAAGCTATTTTTAAACGATTTCTTCCTAGTATAAGCTATTAAGAGAAATTTTTCCATGCCTAAGAATGAACAAGGGCATAGCAGGAATACGAAATTTATCAAGGTATTGTGAGTTTAAATCAAGACCAATAAATTTCTAATATTAAAGTTTTCTATGGCAGATATTAATTTAAAATTATCAAGTGTGAATAAAAATTAAGTTATGGAGTGACTTGAGAGGGAAAGCAAGTTGAATTTTATTAATCTATTTGGTTGCTTAAAATTGCATATTTACCTTTAAGACTTTTTTTTTAATTGCACGTCACGTTCAATTTTTTATTCAAGTTTTTTTTGGGTATAACTTTCGTTCTGAAAAAGATAGAACTTCAAACAAGTAGTTTCTGAAAAGCCTAGTAAAGAGCGTAAAAAAGACATGCTGCTTGATTCATTTTGTATTTTATGTATCTTCCGAATACCAAGCATTTAAACTTTAAAGAAAATAAAATTTTTCTCTTGATTTTTTCAGTTTTTTCTAGTTAGATAATTTCGTAAGAAATTTTTGAAAACCGTGAACATTTTTTTTATACAAAATTATTCCCAGCTGCTTAAGCTTTAATTTAAGTCCCCAAACATTAACAAATTTTTTATGGTACAGAAGATGTAGCACAAAAACCATCTCTAAGTGAAGATTTTATAGGCCCTATTTTTCACTATTTTTGATTTTTATTGATTTTAAGCGCTGTAATTATTAATCATCATTAATTTTGGATCGCAAAACTCACTCAAAAAAATAGTTGACATTTTTAAGAGTCGTTATGCTCTGAAAACTATAAACCATCTGAATTTTAATGTTTTTATTGAAATGTAACAAATAAAAACAAAATTAAATCGAAATTTTATACAAACTTTTAATTTAAAAAACAAAAATTTATTTTAAAAAATTTGAAATTTTTGAAAAGAAAAACTAGAATTTTGTATTAGGGAAAACACAAAAAAAATCTAGTAATCAAAAAATTTTTTTCGAAACTTTTCTTGGTAAAAAAATTAATAGGTTTTTAATTTTTGCCAGTTTTTATAAGAAATAGTACCTATATGGTTTGAAATTTTTAAATGCATTTTCCACAGATTGGGTGCAATTTAAAAATTTAAAAAAAATATTTTCGAAATCTAGACACCATTTAGCATCCGAAATTAATAAAATTAATCAGCTCTAGCGAATTTTTAAAGACTTGCCATACAAATTTTGACATTTATTCGAATAGAAAATTTTTTTTTTTTTTGCAATACGAAAATTTAATTTTTTTACACAAAATTGAGTTTGTAAATGATATGGTATCAATATTATAGAACTAATAAATAATTGAATGGGATTAATAAATTTTAAACATATTTCTAGAAAAACTAAAATTGGTGTACGGCAGGTGCAACTAAAGAGGTGTTCCAGTAAAGCAATTAATTCAAAACATGCGATTGAATAGACTTGAAATAAATAGATTTGAAAGAAGAATAACAAAATTTTTTGCCGAATTAGGTGAATTTCATAAGAAAATTTGGTTTTTGTTTTCAGAAATTTGTAAAATTTTTGGATAATTAGTTCGTGTTTTTTCCAAATTTTTTGATAAAGGAATAATTAATTGATTTTAATTGAATTGGTGGCTCAAAATTTTTGTGCTATATCTTCTGTACCATAAAAATTTTTTTAATGTTTTTGTATAAAATTTGTAAAATTTTTTAATTTCAAT